TTGCGTGAGCAAATCCGCCTCATCGCCATTTACGCCCCCCACACAATTCTACGGACGCAGAGTATGGTGGGACCACCCACACTCGTCCCGGCACTGGAAGCCCCCACGCCGCCTCCGCCATCCATGCTAGCAGGAGACTTCAACTCGGTCGTCCTCCCCATCGATAGGAATCGCCCTCCCAAAGACTTCGAGGCTCGAGAAGGCGCCTCATTTGCCAAACTCATGGAAAACCACGCCCTGATCGACACCTTCCGCGAACTCTTCCCCACGCCGACCAACGTCTTCTCCTTTTTCGGGAGGCAAACGTCTCAATACTGCGACACCCCCACCTCCTCCCGACTCGACAGAATATACATCTCTCGAGCTTTCATACCCCGCCTCACTGCAAGTCCGTACATCCAGACCCGCACGGCAATCACGGACCACCTCTACGCCCCTCTCTGCTCGCTCAGCTTCATCAACCCCACAGTTGCCCCCCGCCCCTGGCGCCTCCGACAGCATCTACTTATGCGCCCTCATGTCTCTCAAATCATCGACTCCTACCTCGCAATCTTTCCAAGCAATCCTTCCCCAGACTCCTGGGACTCATGGAAGCTCGACCTCACCCTTAACCTCAAACGCTTCTCCAACCAAGAACGGCGCCCGCGTCGATGGCACAGTCGCACATCTGGAATATACCATCGGCTGACTTCAACGACATGCTGCGTATACGCCCCTGACCCAGGCCGAGTCTAACCGCCTGACCAAGCAAGACTCCACCTGGCCAGGTATGAAGCCTCAAAAGCCTCCGAAATTGCGCTCAAGGCCAAGCTTAAAGTGGAAGGGCACAGGGAAATGGGAGTCTCCTCCCTTCTCTCTGGCCTCAACTCGCGAATCAAGGGCTCGATCATCAGCTCCCTGACCTTACCCAATGGACAAACAACGTCGGACCTCCCCACCATGACAAACCTGTGCTCCAACTTCTTCCAGACACTTTACAGCGGGAACAACCCCGCCTCCGTAAACTCGGCCTTCTGGCAACACATCCCTCCCTCCTCCATCCCGAACCCCCTACTCCTACGCCTCGGCGCCCCCCTTCTCCCTAGCTGAAATTGGAAAGCACTACTCTCTCTGTCCCGAGGAAAAACCCCCGGCCCAGACGGTCTGCCCGGGGAACTCTTTCGGCAATTCGCCCCACGATTTGCACCGGTTCTTCCATTCCCTGCTCTCCCCTCCGCAACCTCCTCTCTCGCTTACCCCCGTCTATGCTGACCGGACGCACCGTCCTCATCCCCAAACGGGGTGACTCCTCGCTCGTAGAAAATCTTCGCCCCATCACCCTCATGAACGCTGATTACAAGATACTCGCGCCTGTGTCTTGCTAACCGCCTCCAGCTCGTTTCTTCCCCAGATCATTCCACCCGTCCCAAACCGCCTTCATCAAACACAGGAAAATTGGAGACACAATCAACGACACCCTTGACATCATGGACTGGGCAGCATTCTCATCAACCCCTCTCCTCGCTCTTACGGTAGACTTCGAAAGGCCTACGACCTGGTCGACCGCCCCTTTCTCCTCCAAGCCTTAGCGGTCCTAGGGATTCCAGCTCCCTTCATACATTGGGTACGACTAATGCACTCCGACACGAACACACGAATCTCCCGTCAACAACATGCTCGGCCCAACCTTCCCTGTCCGTACGGGCGTCCGACAGGGTTGTCCTCTGGCACCTCTTCTTTTCGTCTGTGTCATAGAGATCTTCCACCGATACATGTCTCTCTTCCTACCCGGCTTCTCTCTGTCTCCCGTCCAGCGCCGACTCATGGCATGTTACGCGGACGATGTCACTCTCTTCCTCACCTCAGACACAGAGCTCGGCCTCGCAGTGATACTCCTCGGCGTCTTCGGTTCCGTGTCTGGGGAGGTACCCAATTGGAACAAGTGCTCTATTATTCCCTTCAATATTCCCCCCACTGATCTCGCGCATGACGGGCCTATCCCCGTCCGAGCCCCCAGCGAAGCAGAAACGCATCCTTGGAATTTATGTTGAACGATTACACCCCGGATCCACCACCTGGACTAAGGCTCTCGCCCGTATACAAAACACCGCCAAATTCCTGGCGGCCTTACATGCCACTGTCACGTGCCGCAAATCTCTGTCATCGATCTTTCTGAACTCCGTCATCTCCTATCCCGGCCGCTTCCAACCTGCTCCACTGAACATCATCAAACGAATTGACATATCAGTTGGGAACTTCCTCTCGTCCTCAAAACATAAACAGGACGGCCTCGCACAACGCTTCCTCCCCAATGGCCTCCTTTACAACTCACCCCAAGACGGTGGGGTTGGTGCGATCGCCCCATCTACCCAAAGCCCTCGCTATCCAACGGTGCACTACGCAGATTTGGACCCACCCCGTCCGAGGAAGTCACAAGGACCCTGACCCCGTTCCCCTTCGGGCTACATGGTCTGCTCTCCCATAAAGCCATCCTTGAACGTGACTATCTTACCTCCTTCATCCCCCCTCGGGCAGTGGATGAACTTAAAACCCTCCTCGCTCTTCCCCTGGTTATCCATGGCCCACCCCTACGCATGCAATGCATCCTCACCGAACCTCTCGCCTTCAACCGGTTTGCTCCTCAAACCCGACGAGCGACCTTTCGGCACCCGCCAACACGAGCGATTCCTGCTTACAGGACAGCTCCGCATCGGACACATTGTCCGAATCACCACCTTCAACGTCAGCCCTATCTCTGCTTAGGAGTTCTGCTCCCAACTCCCGGAGGAATTTCACGATGACGCCACACGCCTCCTCCCAGATCTCATCAACGCTATCAAGCCTCCCTGGTGGGCCGGCCTCCGATCCCCTCACTCCTCCTCTGCCTCCCTTGGAGATTGGTTCATGCCCTCGGATGACCACTACTCCATATCTCACCTCGCTATCCAGGTCGTCGCTTTCATCCCCCCCTCTACCGTCTCGGCTACTGTCCACCCCGTCGCCCAACCATCGCATCGGCCGTACCCCAATCAAAACCGGACTCTTCCGTTTACAAGACCTCATTGAGGTGTATGTCAGGGAATGGTGGCTCGCAGGGCCACTTCACAACAGGGACAGGGTTAGGAGCTAGGGTAGAACTTCTACAGGACGGCACCCCCAGCCTCGCCGACATCCGCCGTCTCCTCTACTCCACACAGCCGCTTACTCACCACAGTCGATGGACCCGAGACCTCACCCTTCCTCCTCCCCCTCTCCCTGGCCTTAAGGACCCCTTTCTCAAAGACCAGCCGAGCCGCCAACGGGATATCCTCTTCAGACTCTACACACTAACTCTCCCCTCTGGATCACGCTTCCAATATTTTGACGACCGAGGGGTTTGCCCCCGGTGTCCTGCTGCTGTTATAGAGACACTGCCGCATATCTTCTTCGAATGCGCCTCCGCCGGAAATGTCATCTCTGCTCTGCGCACAGTCGCTGACCGTCACCTCGGACAAACCGCCCCCGCCGAACACATCTTCTTCCCGCCACAGTCACGGGTTGGACAGTCCCCCCCATGAAGCCTAATAGTAGGAGCAGCAGCCAAGACGCTGTGGAACAGTCGCTGTGACCACAGGTACCGCAACTCCTCCTCCTCGAGCTTCGAGATACTGCAGCTCATCTTAGCCCAGTTCCTCATCGCCTTCAAAATTTACATGTGGAGAGGCAAACGCCAATCGGCCCAAGAAACGTCAACGTATATCATCCAGCATCAAGCGAGCACAGAAACTCCGCTTTCTCCTCTTCGACAGGACCGGCACACCCTCTATCCACCCCGACCTAAGGTTCTCCTGACTCTTGGGAAACCCGTTCCGACCACCATAGTCATCCATCGCATAGAGCGTCTCCCCAGGCAGCTGGCGGTTGTCCGCGAGGACAAGGAATAACGTGTGTTCTACGTGCTCCACTGCGAATGCTGGCCACCTCGGCCATGTTTCTATACTGCTCTATGGATTACTCTTTGTACTTCACGATCAATATATAACCTTAACCTTAACCTCTCACGCTTCTTCCCCTCCTCCACTCAACCACCTCCCTCCTCTCAACTCCAAATTACTTCTTTCTCTCGTACGTGCATAATTCCTTCCTAGAAGTCGCAGCCTGCAAATGTCGGTGCCAGTTTGAAAATTAGTTTCTCCGCGTCTCAATCTCAAACGAGTCTCGGAGAAGGGTTTGCAGAGGGAGGGGACGGAGAGCTCCCCTACTTGCCGCCTTCTTGCAATGCGCAAAAGCTCGCGGCGGTTCAGCGATATTAACAATCGCGTATTCGTCGTAGCCTGGACGCGTTGAACTACTCTGCCTGACGATAGCTCTCGGAATTGCGGTAAGAAAGAATAAGGGGAGCTTGGTACTTTGAGATGTACTACACTCGTGCTTAAGAAGGTTCAATCTTCTACTAGTTTGCTCAGTAAACGACGCAATGTTTAAAAAAAAAATCGTGTTTTTCCTTATTTGAGCTCCCCCATTCCCCTACGTGTATCTGCAGAGACACGCGGAGCTCCCGCGGGAATCTGCGAGTGGCTCCCGCAATCTGCGAGCTCGTGGCTCGCTCGAGCAGTAGAGCATGTGAGGGAGCAGCGCGGGGGCCTCCGCGAGGAGCGGCGGGAAAAGCTCCGCCCAAATAGGCCGATGCAGCGCTGTGGCGATGCACGGCGCTGCTAACTCTGCTGGCGGCGAGCGCGACGCCCGCAGGCTCTGCGGGTGGCTAGCGAGGCGCTGCGTCGCACGGTTCTTGGCACGTGAGCATGGCCTCTCCTCTCGCAGTTATTTATTTTTTCATTCTAGTAGCGACTTTCGCTATCCATTTCTTATTAGCATGTGTGTCGAGTTTGTTTTTACTGCCCTCGTTTCACGTACCCATTTTCTCAGTCCATGCCCGTTTCCGCGCTACAGGCGGAAAGAACGGAGCTCCTCCGCGCCGCAGGCGGAAGAACGGAGCTCCTCCGCGCCGCAAGCGGAAGAACGGAGCTCCTCCGCGCCGCAGACGGAAGAACGGAGCTCCTCCGTGCCGCAGGCGGAAGAACGGAGCTCCTCCGCACCGCAGGCGGAAGAACGGAGCTCCTCCGCGCCGCAGGCGGAAGAAAGGAGCTCCTCCGCACCGCAGGCGGAAGAACGGAGCTCCTCCGCGCCGCAGGCGGAAGAACGGAGCTCCTCCGCGCCGCAGGCGGAAGATCGGAGCTCTTCCGCGCCGCAGGCGGAAGATCGGAGCTCTTCCGCGCTGCAGGCGGAAGAACGAAGCTCTTCCGCGCTCCAGGCGGAAGACCGGAGGCTTCCGCTGCTGAGTCATTCCCGCTTTCGAATTGAACTTCTCGTTCCTCCCCCTTGTTCTGCCCCGCTCGTTCCATGGCCCCTACCCCCCTCCAGCCGTTGCAGGCGGAAGGTCGGAGCGCTTCCACGGTGCAGGCGGAAGGTCGGAGCGCTTCCGCGGTGCAGGCGGAAGGTCGGAGCGCTTCCGCGGTGCAGGCGGAAGGTCGGAGCGCTTCCGCGGTGCAGGCGGAAGGTCGGAGCGCTTCCGCGGTGCAGGCGGAAGGTCGGAGCGCTTCCGCGGTGCAGGCGGAAGGTCGGAGCGCTTCCGCGGTGCAGGCGGAAGGTCGGAGCGCTTCCGCGGTGCAGGCGGAAGGTCGGAGCGCTTCCGCGGTGCAGGCGGAAGGTCGGAGCGCTTCCGCGGTGCAGGCGGAAGGTCGGAGCGCTTCCGCGCTGCAGGCGGAAGGTCGGAGCGCTTCCGCGCTGCAGGCGGAAGGTCGGAGCGCTTCCGCGCTGCAGGCGGAAGGTCGGAGCGCTTCCGCGCTGCAGGCGGAAGGTCGGAGCGCTTCCGCGCTGCAGGCGGAAGGTCGGAGCGCTTCCGCGGTGCAGGCGGAAGGTCGGAGCGCTTCCGCGGTGCAGGCGGAAGGTCGGAGCGCTTCCGCGCTGCAGGCGGAAGGTCGGAGCGCTTCCGCGCTGCAGGCGGAAGGTCGGAGCGCTTCCGCGCTGCAGGCGGAAGGTCGGAGCGCTTCCGCGCTGCAGGCGGAAGGTCGGAGCGCTTCCGCGCTGCAGGCGGAAGGTCGGAGCGCTTCCGCGGTGCAGGCGGAAGGTCGGAGCGCTTCCGCGGTGCAGGCGGAAGGTCGGAGCGCTTCCGTGCTGCAGGCGGCAGGTCGGAGCGCTTCCGCGCTGCAGGCGGAAGGTCGGAGCGCTTCCGCGCTGCAGGCGGAAGGTCGGAGCGCTTCCGCGCTGCAGGCGGAAGGTCGGAGCGCTTCCGCGGTGCAGGCGGAAGGTCGGAGCGCTTCCGCGCTGCAGGCGGAAGGTCGGAGCGCTTCCGCGCTGCAGGCGGAAGGTCGGAGCGCTTTCGCGCTTCATGAGCGTGAGCCCCTTTCCAAACATCTCGTGAATTTCTGTTTACCCCCTTCCCCCCGCCACTGAGTTTTTGTCCCCTCGCGCCATCCCCCTCCCTTCCCCTTCCCCTCTTCCGCAACTACTCCTTTTCCACCCTGATCCGCGCCCCTCCCCGCCATTTCCGCATTTCCCTCATCCCCTCTCTCTCCTCTATGCCCTCTCCCCTCTCTCTCCCGGCTCTTCATCTCTTTCCCCTACCCTCCGCTTCCCTCCCCCCTTCCCACCCCGATCACTCTCGCTCCCCTCTCCGTTTCCAGCCCTCGCTTTCGTTTCCTCTCCTTCGCGCACCTTGTGGTAACTCTGTAACGCATTGATCTCGCCCATTCTTTTTCCGTTCCCGTTCTCCTTGTGCATCATGTTCCCCTTTCCGCTTTTCCCCCTGCCGCCTCCCCTTGCTCCCCCGTAGCGTAGCGTAACCCCTATTCCCGTTTCCTCTCTCCCTGTTTCTCCTCTCCCTGTTTTCTCCTATGGACGCCATGACGATATTCCCTTGCAATGTGTGGAATGATACAAGTTATTGATATGATGACAATAGGCTCGGCACAGGCACGTGTGAGGCTCGGCACAGCCAGGCGAGGGTTGGCACAGCCAGGCGTGGTGAGAGGCTCGGCACAGCCAGGCGTGGTGAGAGGCTCGGCACAGCCAGGCGTGGTGAGAGGCTCGGCGCAGCCAGGTGAGAGGCTCGGCACAGTCAGGTGAGAGGCTCGGCACAGTCAGGTGAGAGGCTCGGCACAGTCAGGTGAGAGGCTCGGCACAGCTGGGTGAGAGGCTCGGCACAGCTGGGTGAGAGGCTCAGCACAGCCAGGTGAGGGTCGGCTCGCTGCTGCTTGAACTCTCCCATTCACCTCTCTGGTGCCAGCCTCGAAGATGCGATGATAAAGATAGAATAATAGGAGTCATTAGGAGTTTTTGATATGTATGCTTGTATGTAACATCACACATGAGCTAGTCTGGCCAGGTCCGTCCTGGCCAGGCTCGGGGAGATAGGGTCGGTTCGGCCTAGGTCCGGGAGGGGGGGAGGGGGAGGAGGTCTGATTGGGCCAAATACAGATACAGATACAGTGACAGTGACCGAAACAGGGACAAATACAGACACAGGGACAAAAACGGAAGGCAAACAGGGACAGAAGCGAGGTCAGGGACAGAGCGTAAATGGAAGACAAACAGGGAGAGAAGCAGCAGGGACAGGGAGAGGGACACACCAACAGCCGACAGAAACAGGAATGGAAGACAATGAGAGAGAAGCAGGGACAGGGAGACGGATGGAAAGAGGCCAGATGTGAGGCCTACATGGCCTTTTGGCAGGTGGTGCCTGTGTGTGACTCGGCCAGGCCAGCCAAGCGATTTGAGGGGGCTGTGTGGGGGGGGGGGGGGAGGGCTGTGTTGGGGGGGGGTGTGTATGGGGGGCTGTGTGGGGGGGCTGTGAGGGGGGCTGTGAGGGGCGTTGGGGGGTAGGGGGCCCTTCGGGGGGGTCATGGAGGGGTTTTCACTCGCTTCTCGTTATTATCACTCTTGTTGTCCACTTTCTGCATCCTAGTACCATGGTCCTCTGTTATTATCTATTGTTTTTAAACCTTCAAGGTTGAGATGTTGTATTGTCTTGGGGGAAGAAGCAATGAGCTGGTGTGGTGATAGGGCACAGACACCAAGCAGGTTGGAATCAGCAGCCCCTCCCTTCCCTCCTGCTTGATGTTTCTCCACATGATATATGATTCTATTTACGGTAAACAAAGCAACAAGCCAGTCCACAACCTATTTACAGTACAATCATACCCATTGTTAAGATTCCTAAACATGTCAATCTTGCGACGGTATCTCTTGGTGATCAACATGCCGCATGTATCTCCGCGCTTCACACTGTACAATCGCTTGGTTGAACATGTATTGCCAGATAACGGCCGGCCGTCAACACTAGCCACACAAATCTGTGAGTCAACCATCAGTGAGGAACAGGATGGAAGGGGAAGAAAAATAAACTGCATTGAATAACCTTCACACACAGAGGCAGAGACAGAGACAGAGGCAAGACATCGACAGCGGCACCAGACACAGGCACAGGCACAGGCACAAGCACAGGTACTATTTGCAGCGTATAGCGTATAACCTCCTTCCACTCCACCCCACACACAGACCTTCCCGACTCACCCTTCTCATCATATTGCCCTGCAGGGGGCTGTAGGGCAGCAGCGAGTCGCACAAGAGGTCAAGATTCAACTGGAAGAAGCGCATCGGACTTCTTGCTCCTCCCTCAGCCCACAACTCACACCCGCAACCGCTCGACTCTCACCCTCCCAGCCCAACTCACCCTTCTCATCATGTTGCCCTGCAGGGGGCTGTGCGGCAGCAGCGAGTCGCACGAGAGGCCGGGGTTCATCTGGAAGAAGCGCGTGGGGGAGGCGATGGCAAACGCCCGCCACAGCTGCTGGCAGGTCTGCGGGCCCTGGAGGACCGTCACGAGCACACCTACGCTCGTGTAGTTGGCTAGAGGCGGAGGAGGAGGGGGTGGTTGAGGGCTGGGTGAGGTTGTGGGCGGGGTTTGTGTCACGGCTGGGGTGATTTGGGCCTGGAGCTTGCATGATATGCGGGTCATTCCCTCTTCTAGCCACGTCTGGTTGAGGGATACACAGAGGAGCTGGGAAGGAGGGAGGGAGGAGAATGGGGGAGAGGGGGGAGAAGGGGGAGAAGAGGGGGAGTGGGGAGAGGAATGTGTGAAATGATGTGAGATCGGGTTCTGAGACTTTGGAGAACAAACTACCCTAACAACCTGTCATTGCAGCAGCTTCTGTTACCAGCGCACCTGCATTCTTGTCAGCCATCTACACTCACCTTCACCCACCTACACCCACCTCGACCCACCTACGCTCACCAACACCCACCTACACCCCCCGAGACCCACCAACACATACCTGCAACCACAAGCACTCACCTGCACCTGCATCCACACTCACGTGCCCTCACCTAACTCACTTGCACCCATCTGCACCGATGCTCACCTGGCCGGGTCTGGGCCCATCAGAGCAGGTGAGGGCGGGGTTGAGCGGCTGTATCTGCGTGGAGAAGAGGGCGTTGAGTGAGTCACACGTGTCACCCTGCACACGCATGTCAGGTATAGGAGGAGTGGAAGAGGAAGCGTGGTTACTGGAAGGATTGAGTTGAGTGGCTGTAACTGCGTGGAGAAGAGGGCGTTGCGTGAGTCACACGTGTCACCCTGCACACGCATGTCAGGTATAGGAGGAGTGGAAGAGGAAGCGTGGTTACTGGAAGGATTGAGTTGAGTGGCTGTATCTGCGTGGAGAAGAGGGCGTTGAGTGAGTCACACGTGTCGCCCTGCACACACATGTCAGGTATAGGAGGAGTGGAAGAGGAAGCGTGGTTACTGGAAGGATTGAGTTGAGTGGCTGTATCTGCGTGGAGAAGAGGGCGTTGCGTGAGTCACGTGTCACCCTGCCGGCACACAGGGAAATAGGCGAGTGAGTGTCTGGGAAAGAGACGAGGGGGTTTGAAGGGAGAAGGCACGTGGAGGGAGAAGGCACGTGGAGGGAAGGGGCAGATGGAGGAAGTGGGAAATGCAAACACAGGTGGCGATTCAGAGTGAGCAGTGAAGCGGGGTTAAGTTTTGAGATTAGGCTCAAAGGCGCTTACATAAACACACTGGGGTTTACACAAACGCACTGGCACTTGGATAAGCGCACTGGAACTTGGAATAAGGCACTGGAAACTACTTCAACACACCGGCACTTACATAATTAGCAGTGTACATGGCAGTGCATTGGGAGAAAGCCCGGCTGGTGACGTTAACAAGAGTGCCTACAGGGATGGGCGCTCGGCACTGGAACCCCTGCAGTCAGAACAAGGAGACATAGAGGAGAGGATTGGTCAGAACATGGGTATCTGACAGAAAAGAAACACTAAACAGGCAAGACGGGAAGGGGGGTATGGGTTTGGACGCTCTGCTGTTACAAGGAGAGATTCGAACGAGGCAGGCCGAATGGGTGGTGGGAAGAATGAGCGGAAAGTGAGGAGCAGTGAGAGAAAGTGAGGGGGGGTGGGTGGAAGCGAGGGGAATTGAGTTGAAGTGAGGGGCAGAGAGGGGAAGTGAGAGAAACTGAAGGGCAATGTGTGGCGATGAGGGGAAGTGTGGCTGTGCCGTGACCAGAAAGGGGAAATATTGAGCTTTCAGACGGACCTTGTTTTGGCTCCAGAATTCCGCTTGGGAGAGCCCATAGGTGTTGAGTTGAGGATGAGAGAGCATGTGATGTGATGTGATGCGATGCCACACAATGTGCTGCGAGATGATTGTGCTGTGAGATGAATGTGCTGAGCTGAACTAAACACAGCCCCTTTAACCAAAGCCCACCAAAGCCCTCCTGAGCTTGTTTTGGTTGAAGAAGTCTGCTTGGGTGAGCCCATAATTGTTGAGGATGAGCGGGCATGGGACATGGAATGTCCTGACCCCAATCAATCTACAGCTTGAACCTTCCTTCAGTCCAATGTCAGACCTTGTTTTGGCTGAAGAAGTCTGCTTGGGTGAGCCCGTAGGTGTTGAGGATGAGCGCGCATGTGAGGCCGTAGGGCGACAGGAAGGTGGGCATTCGAGTCTCAGCCAATCGCACTGCATGCACGGGGGGTAGGCATGCACGGGGTAGGCATGCATGGGGTAGGCATGCATGGGGTAGGCATGCATGGGGTAATATAAGTCCACGTGATGAGCCCATAAGAAGTAAACACAGGAGACACGAGGTCCATGTGATGTGATGAGAGCCATGACGATAAGAGCTATCGGATGGGCCATGTGATAGAAGTAGCGTTTTGAAATGTCTCAAAATACGAGGTGCATGTGATGAGAGCCATGACGATACGAGCTATCGGATGGGCCATGTGATAGAAGTAGCGTTTTGAAATGTCTCAAAATACGAGGTGCATGTGATGAGAGCCATGACGATAAGAGCCATCGGATGGGCTGAGATAGAACAGGCACACATGTGAGAGAGGGGCATGTGAGAGAGGGGCATGTGAGAGTTGGGCGTATGACAGTGGGGCGTGTGAGAGCGGTGACGTGTGAGAGCGGTGACGTGTGAGAGCGGTGACGTGTGAGGGGTGTGTGTGAGAAGAGGGGGTAGGCGAGGGGTCAGAGGCATGAGCTGAAAATCAAACCTTGTTTAAGACCATCTGACCATGTGGTACGCACAATGGTAACAGCGGGCAGCGCCTTTGGGGTAAAAGTAGAAGGGGAAGTAGGGCGAGGGGCAGAGGCAGGAGTAGGTGCCATCTATGTCATCAATGCACACCCCCGGGGCACACGGGTTGCGGGGGAACTGGCGACATGTGAAGGAATCTGGTTTAGGGAGGGCGAGGGAAGGGGAAAGACAATCGGGGAAGCAGAGTGGGAAGAGAGCAAGAGTGAGTGAGCAGCAGACTAGGACACCATTGATGCACATCCCAAAGGGCACATGGGATAAAGGTAGAGTTTTGAGACGTCTCACAACTCTACTTATATCAAGTGCGTGAGCAGCAGACTAGGATACCATTGATGCACATCCCATGTGCCCCTGGGATGTGCATGACCAATTGGGCTTGCCTCACTACCAAATGCTCACCCACCACACTCTGCCTCTCACCCACCATGCTCCACCTCTAACCTACCGCACTCCACCTCTCACCTACTGCACTCCACCTCTCACCTACTGCACTCCACTTCTCACCTACTGCACTCCACCTCTCACCTACCACACTCCACCTCTCACCCACCTACCGCTCTCCGCCTCTTGCCTACCTCAGTCCACGGCTCACCAGGGAAGCAGGAGGGCAGGCCGGCAAGGTGGGAGGGTTGGAAGGAGGGGAGCTTCAAGGGGCACTTGCAGGAGGGCACGAGGATAGACGGGTCCCACGGGGCACGTGCCTTGGTGCATGCACCCGTGCCACAGGGCTGCACGGGAGAGGCCTTGCAGGGGTCGGTGTCTGTTGGGGGAGCGGGGGGAAGGGGGAAGGGAGGGGGGAGGAGGATGGGAAGGGGGAGTGTGCGGAGGTATGAGGCAGGAGGAGAGAGAGGTCCAGGTATGAGACAGCAAATGCCTTGAAGCATGCAACCATGGAACAGAGGAGCACTGGAGAGGCGTTGCAGGGGATACGCGGGGGTTCGTGGGGTTACAATAACGAAAATCCTCCCTCCCCTCTTCCTACCTCTTCAGAGCAGGCACGTGGCTTGCTACCCCTCCCCCTCCTTCCCTCCCCCCCAGCTCCCCCCCTTCCCCCTCCCTGCCCGTGAATCGGAAGGCCCAGGAGGAGAGGGTGACAGGGGCAGGGCATGTGGCTTGCTACCCCTAAGCCCTTAACGATAAACTCGAAACCCTAAATCCTGGCTTGCTACCCCTCCCCTCTTTCCCTCCCCCCATCTCGACCCATTCCCCTCCCCCCTACCTGTGAATCGGAAGGTCCAGGAGGAGAGGGCGACGGGGGAAGGCAGGCGGCCAGGGGGGGGAGGGAGGGCAGCGCTGGTGAACCCAACGACCAGCTGCCCGAACGATGGCGACCATAGGTCCGTTGCACTGCTGCTGTCACTGCTGCTGCTGCTGCCACTTGTGGTGCTGGTGCTGTTACTGCTGTTGCTGCTGCTGCCGCTACCACTGCCGCCGCTGCTGCTTGTGCTTGTGTCAGGGCCCCCAGTGAGAGCAGCACAGAGGTCAATAGAGACTTTCATGCTGCCTACCAGAACAGGGGGTTGGTACCATCGGATCAGCATCTCCTTGCTTCTCCCGTTATAGTCAACCCTCATCTGCAACACCTCCTCTGCCTCCACCACATTTGACACCTCCTCCTCGAAAATCGAAGTCATGTTGAAATCGGTGTTAACGCCTATGTGATAAGCATTTGGATCGTCAGTTTCCGGGTTTGTTACAGCCTGTGGGTGCCATAGCACAGCTACACTCCGCGCGCCGTCCGGCCAGCTGCCGTTAGTGAGTCGCGAGGATGGGTCCCGGCCGTACCCCATATAAGCCCCGCCTAGGCCCACGCTCGCATGTGTGCTTATAACGAATGCGAGTCCATGGGAAGCGGATACATTTATGGAAAAGCCGTATGTGAAGGTGAAAGAGCGAGCCATGCAGATGGGGGGTTCGGTTGCTGTGGGTTGGGGAGGGGAGGAGGAAGGAGAGGAATGGGGGGAGCTGCGGGGACGACGAGGAGGAGGAGGAGGAGGAGGAGGGAAGGGAGGGGAGGAGGAGTAGAGGAGGGGGAGACGGCGAGGGAAGTAGATGGCTCCAGGGGCGGGATCGTCTGATTGGCCACTGGATGATGCCACGTCAGCAGCGACCGAGAGATCAGCGGCAAAGAATCGCTTCCTGGTGCTGCCACGTGTCAGCAGGGGAGTGGCTGGCGTGATGTAGGGGAAGGAGAACGAGTCTGCCGCCCAAAACGGAAGCTGATCCTCCGCTGCTGGGGTTGGCATGGTATGGGGGCGGGGGCAGTGGGGGGAGGGTTAGGCATGAGTAAATGTTCAACCTTAGGCTAGGATGTGGACCGTGGGACACTGGAACTATGGCAGGTAGGTTCCATGGAGGTTCGCTCCTCCTTTTCACCACCCACCAAAACGGCAGCGAATTCGTTGCAGAAGGGGGTTGGCATTGTATGCTCCAGCATTCCACCCCCACTGATTCCTTCTCACCACCACCACCGCCCTTCCCCCTGCTCCTCTTGCCCTCCCCCTCTCCTCCCGACGACCATCCTGCTCCAGACAACCGCCTTGCTCCCATACCACTCCCCTTCTTCCCTCCCTTTCTCCCCCTTGCCGCCCCGCGTGTACCAGCACCACGGACGGTAGCAACACTCACAACAGTGCCCTCAAAAACCTCCCGGCTTTCTGCTCCTCCCACAGTCAGCACAGGTACATCCCCCGCTCCAACACCCGAGCCCTTTCCCAGTGCATCCTCCCCAATACATCCCCCCTCTCCCTCCCCATCCCCGTCCCCATCCTCCCTAATTTCGTGGCATTTCCCCTTCCCACTGCCAATCCCTGCTCCTCCTGTCTCCCTAGCAGCAAGCATCGCTGCTTTTCTCCCCTTGGGGCCCCACTCTCTACGAACATTCACCCTGCCACCACCACCAGCAGCAGCAGCAGCAGCAGCAGCAGCAGCAGCAGCAGCAGCAGCAGCGGCAGCAGCGGCAGCAGCAGCAGCAGCAGCAGTAGCAGCAGCAGCAGCAGCAGCAGCAGCAGCAACTCCAGCTGCTCCTCCTCTCCCTTTCCTCCCTGCAGCCGCCCCCCTCCCCACGCCTGCAGCAGCAGCCGCGCTTGCTGCTGCGATCTCCAGCTGTCGTATCCTCTCCCCCACCGTCCCTCTCACCCTGCCTTGCCCCATGCCCGCACCTCCTCCTCTCCCTCACCCTCCCGCCCTCCCACCCTCTCTCTTCCGCCTCGTTCTGCCTGGGGTCATCACAACCCCCGAGGTAAGGCCAGTATTTCCGCTCCCTATAACGAGGACAACGGTTTCCCCTGCGCCCATCTCCTCTTCTCCTTCTGTGCTTTCGAAGGTCACCCCCAGCCGTCTCTCCCCTCCACCATCTCCCTCCCCATCTGTATCCATCTCAACCGCATCAGAAAGAAGCGTGGCCGCTCCAAACGCCTGCCTTCCCTTCCCCGTTGCTCGTTTCGCTCTGCTTCTGCTGTTTCCCTCGCCATTGCCATTTCTCCTGCTCCCCCCGCTGCTGTCCAACCCGTTATTGTCACACCCTGATGCAAAACCCTCCCTGCTCGGCTCACCACCCATTAAAACGCCACAAGCACCGCATTCAACTCCTTCGTCTTCCCCGCTGCTTGAGCCCCAGCCCCCCTGCAACTCGCGCCTTCATTTCCCAAACACAGCAGCAGCGGTAGAAAACAGCAGTAGCAAACAGTAGAAAACAGCATCAGCAGCGGCAACCAGCATGGTTAGCAGCAGCAGCAAGAAGGAACAGCAACAACTGCAGCAGCAACATAATCAGCGGCAGCAAAACACCAGCAGCGGGGGACGCAGCAGCAGGAAGCAAACGTTAGCAGCACCAGAAGGGCAAAGAAAAGCAGTCAAAGGGCTCTACAAGAAGGGATCGAAGGGATTGAAACAGCTCCAGGGAGGGGTGATGTTGCACTCGCCTGCGCAATGATTGTCAGCGCCTTGTCAGCAGCGCCCCCCCTCTGCTTGAGCCCCAACTCGTTCTCCTCGTCGTCTGCGGAAACAGTGAAGGGGCAGGGGGGAAGGAAGTGAGGGGAGGGGAGGGGGCGCGTGGGTGGGTGAGTGAGCAAGTGATAGGAGGAAGGAGGCGGGCAAGGGAGGTAGCAGAAAACCCAGATATCGGTACCAGCACCATATGGAATCCGCAGCTTCACACGGTGACATGCAAAAACGCTGCAGGGGACATGCTTGGCTCTGTTGAGGCGAACATAAGAAACTTCTAACAGACTCTAAGAAGGAATTTGTCAAGCGTTTAACCCACCTGCATCCACGCATGCAGAATCGCAGCCATTCGCGAATGTCGTCTAGCAGCCCCGGAAAAAGCGCATGCATGTGTGTCACGCCATTGCCAGTGGCGCATCGACAGTGTTCCCAACACAGTGTGTTCTCATCACGTCATGGGCACCGCATCATCGACTGCCGCTACTACACCGCCGCGGGAAAGGCGCCGGCTCTTTTTTTGCAAGACGGCAGATGCGGCGACTGTTTTCACGTGACACATGCTGCCTGTCCGCAAATCGCGAACCGGCAAATTAGTACGAGTAGTAGTACTACTAATCGACGAGGCGCGCGAAGCGGCTTGCTGTGCTTGACCGCTGCCTCTGCTCCAGGAACCGGCGGCGTCGACGAGACTAGCACGCCGCCTGCAGCAGCCACACTGTGGCAGGAGCAAAGCGGCGTGGTCAACATGATAAACGTCGCTTGAAGCGATGACGTAAATAATCAGAAGTGATTCCATATCGAGACAGGAAGAAAACACAAGTACATAAGCGTGCATATCAGTCTAGGGGCTGGCGTACGTTAGAACAGCTAATACTACTACGACTACGACTAACGGTGCTAGTACCAACGACGGGCTGCATAGTACTAGGGTGGGTGGCGGCGCGATGAAGGTGATGTGAGAGGGAGTAGGTGATTTGGCGAAAGGGAGGAAATGCTGAAGCTCATGGGGCCCGTTGCCTTCTTACACCCATCTAGAAACCCTAATTTTCAAATCGCGGTTGAGAACGGTGGAAAAGCTGTCATCGTGCACTGAATTGAAGAGCACGACAAATGCTGGAAACGGACACGTGGCCCCCGCCCTTGGGTTTGTTCTCAACTGCCGGAGTCAACCTTCGAGCTCGCGCAAACAGTTGCTAACGTCAGATACAGAAACAAGCAGGGTGAGCGGGATCGGCGGGGGACACACACTACAGTGCGTTTCGGTACGGTTTAATAAAGGTTATAAGAGGTGAGGTGAGATGAGCTGAGGTGAGGTGGTGATATGGATTGCCCACCTGTCGTTACCGCGCAGAGCAGAAAGCGCCGCCAGATCAGCCCAAGCACTTCAAATTTTAAATACAGAGGACGAACAAAAAGTCGTGCTTTAGGTCAACGAAATAATAGATGGTTGTGGTGGGAGAGAAAACGCGCTGGATTTTAGCAAACTATCAAACGAACAATACAAACGACGTACAAAGACTGGGTGTGTAAAATAGAACAGATGTACAGTGCGAACCGGGAAGAAAATGGAGTAGCAGGTGCAAAACAAAACCAAAAAGAACAACTAACCAATACTGTACAAAAAGACCAAGTTGGAATCCCCGAACCGAATCCCGATCAGAACCTGAATTCTAGGGCACACAACTGTACAGCATTGGCTTGCTGCTTTGTTTTGAAAGCCGACAGGTTGAGAACGGTGCTATCGTTAAAATCCGTTTCAGCCAAGCGCTCTGAATTGAATTGCGCGTCAGAAGGGACACGTGGACTGCACCTGTGGTTCTGTTCAACTGTCGTCTGTGAAGCTCGCGAACCATCCTGTCTGCGCAGAAGCCAGCTCTAACCAAATGTAAAACTCGTGCGCCAGCTCTCTTAAAAGGCAGGGAGTGTGGCGAAATGAAATAAACATGGGGGTGGCGAAAAAACGGCCTACGTGATAGCAAAACACCATACGGGCTTTACAGAGCAGCAAAAATCGGGTGCGAGAACAATAACAGATGAGAGTCGCAAGGCCGAACAAAAACATACAGGGCAGCCAGAACAAACAACTAGTATCCCCGAAGTGCGAACAGACCCTGCAGTACAGTTGAGCGAGGTGAGGTGAGAAGGTACTGCAATGGTGAATCTGCCTGTCTGTCGTATGCACGCCGACACGAACTGAGTGCAACACAAAAAACAAAACCAAAGAAACAACACGAGAGGTGAACAATAACACGTGCCGCAGTTTCTGTCACAACGAAGGGGGGGTCTCCGAAAAAACGGGCTAGGTCTTAGCCAAACACCAACTGTCGCATTCAACTTTTAAGCAATTGCAAGCTTCAAGCTCGCAACGCCTCGCCAACAGTTTCGAACCGTAAAAGATGACAAACCAAAACAAAGGCCCTTGCGTTGCCCGACGTGAGGTGAACTTCAGGAGAAAAAAGTCGCCACGTGCGATTCCGTCCTACTTTGCACCTGTCGTGAGCGAGCTGATTCGCTCGCTAAGAGTGCAAACGGCGCGCAAAGCTTCGCTTTACTCACGGACCAATCCACCACCCCGATTTCAAGCTTCGTATTAGTGTCCTAGCCTCGGCGTAGCCAATTGATTGGCTGCAAACGTGAACAAAATGCAGCACTAACAGTGTTACGTGAACAATTTGCAGCCCAATCGTGTTTCGGTTTCCAGGCCCACAATGCCATGCAGTATACGTACAACAATATATATCATCATATACATACATAGCACAGAAACTTTAACCAGGTGCTAACAGATAGTTCATCACCTTATGCATAGGCACCCTCAAACTTAGCACTTCTTCGGCATGATTGACTACTTGTTATACTGACATTTACCAATAAATGTTTTCAAACCGGTCCCCCTCTCCGTGTAGAATACATTAAAAAACGGGTTTTGTAGTGCGCCTTTGAATGTCGCGTATGATCGATATCAAAATGCACATTTGCTGGTGGTGTGCATAGGTGTGTGGGTATTGATGAATGTGTCTCTATGTAGCAAATGTCCGTGTCAATCTCGGTGCTCGGATAGATTGTACCTACGCTACGGCAATGCACTGTTTGATCTTTTCTCGCATGGATAGTATGGAAATATTGGCAGGATGACTAACTAAGAGCCGGTCCCATTGCTCCGGCTCTTTTCATGCATGTCACAACACGTACCTGGGGTGGTTACGGTATGAGCTTGCTTATGGTATTTCCAGGTTTATGCTGGTGTGAAAGCAACGGACATGGCATCCTGTTTTGATTAACGGCAGAACTCTGTCATGGCACCATTGCATTTTGTTTCGACAAATGCATACAGTAAACCACAACACAAAGGCATTATGTTCCAAAAGGGGCAAAACTCTGTCACATACATACAGCACTAAGCTTGGGGAATGCCACCTGTAGCTACTGCTGAACACCAGCCCCCATCCCATCATCTCACCCTCTCACCACCCGCCCCATCCCATCATCTTACCCTCTCACAACCAGCCCCATCCCATCAGCTCACCCTCTCACCACCCGCCCCATCCCATCATCTTACCCTCTCAGCACCTGCTGCTGCTGCTTGTACAGTCTACTGCTGCTGCTTGTACAGTCTGCTGCTGCTGCTTGTACAGTCTACTGCTGCTGCTTGTACAGTCTACTGCTGCTGCTTGTACAGTCTACTGCTGCTGCTTGTACAGTCTGCTGCTGCTGCTTGTACAGTCTGCTGCTGCTGCTTGTACAGTCTACTGCTGCTGCTTGTACAGTCTACTGCTGCTGCTTGTACAGTCTACTGCTGCTGCTTGTACAGTCTACTGCTGCTGCTTGTACAGTCTACTGCTGCTGCTTGTACAGTCTACTGCTGCTGCTTGTACAGTCTGCTGCTGCTGCTTGTACAGTCTGCTGCTGCTGCTTGTACAGTCTGCTGCTGCTGCTTGTACAGTCTGCTGCTGCTGCTTGTACAGTCTACTGCTGCTGCTTGTACAGTCTACTGCTGCTGCTTGTACAGTCTACTGCTGCTGCTTGTTCAGTCTACTGCTGCTGCTTGTACAGTCTACTGCTGCTGCTTGTACAGTCTACTGCTGCTGCTTGTACAGTCTACTGCTGCTGCTTGTACAGTCTACTGCTGCTGCTTGTACAGTCTGCTGCTGCTGCTTGTACAGTCTGCTGCTGCTGCTTGTACAGTCTGCTGCTGCTGCTTGTACAGTCTGCTGCTGCTGCTTGTACAGTCTGCTGCTGCTGCTTGTACAGTCTGCTGCTGCTGCTTGTACAGTCTGCTGCTGCTGCTTGTACAGTCTGCTGCTGCTGCTTGTACAGTCTGCTGCTACTGCTTGTACAGTCTACTGCTGCTGCTTGTACAGTCTGCTGCTGCTGCTTGTACAGTCTGCTGCTGCTGCTTGTACAGTCTGCTGCTGCTGCTTGTACAGTCTACTGCTGCTGATTGTACAGTCTGCTGCTCCTGCTGTGTCTCCTATTGCGTGTTGCTGCTGCTCCTGGGCAGGGCGGACGGCAACACGTTAGCAGGACAGGGGGAGCACATATGTTTAGTGCATATGAGAGCAGAGCCATTGAGAGAAAGGGGA